ATATACTCTACAAACCAATGAGGAAAAAGAGACAGCTGACACAACAGAAAAATAAACAAGACTCCAATGGAGCCCACCCTGGTGGCTTGTGCCTGTAATCCCAGCTACTAGTAAGGCAGGAAGATTACTTGAGGCCAAGAGGAAGACCAGTCTGGAAAACATATAGCATGAGCCTCAACTCCAAAAAATAAAAATCAGCTGGGTGTGGTAGCAGATGCCTATAGGGCTAGCTACCTGGGAGGCTGAGGTGGGAGGATTATTTGAGCCTAGGAGTTCAAGGTTATAGTGAGCTATGATCACTCCTCTGCACTCCAGCCTGGGCAACAGAACAAGACTCCTTCTCTAAAAAAAAAGAAGACTTGAATGGGCACTTTTCTAAGGCAGAAATCCAGTGGCTGATAAACATATGAAGATGTTCATTTGCCATTCCTAGTTAGGAAAATGCAAAGTGAAATCACAATGAATGTCTACTATATACGATATTGGCTAAAATTTAAGTCTGCAAGTACCAATGTCGATGAACAAGAACTCTCACATATAGTGGAAGCAATGGTGAGAATATAAATGTTTTGGGGGTTTGTTTGTTTGTTTGTTTTTGAGTTAGAATCTCACTCCGTCGCCCAGGCTGGAATGCAGTGGCATACTCATGGCCACCCCAGCGTTGACCTGCTGGGCTTCAGTGATCCTTCTGCTTCAGCCTTCCAAGTAACCAGAACTACAGGTGTGTACTACCACGCCCAGCTCATTTTTGATTTATTGTATAGATGAGATAGCCAAGTTGCCCGGGCTGGTCTCAAACCCATAGGCTCAGGTAATCCACTCACCTCAGCCTCCCAAAGTGCTGGGATTACAGGCTGATAAACGTTTTAAGATATGCATATCTTATAACCCAGCAATTCCACTCGTAGGTACATATCCTATAGAAACATGTTCATGTGTATAAAGATGCAGCACTGCTTATTTTAATAGTCAAAACCTAAAAATATCATCACAGTAATCATGGTATTAATGAAATGACACACTAAACAGCAATGAAAATGAATAAACATACCTGTATGAGACATGCATCTTATAAGCAATGCTGAGCAAAAGACATCAGATACAATATACAGTATGATTCTATTTTTTATAGAAAAGTGGGGAAAACAAACTAACCATACCATTGCATACGTAACTGGTAAAATAATTTTTAAAGGGACAGGAGGAGAATTAACCATAAAGTCAGGATAGTTACCTCTGGGGAAAAGAGAGGGCATCAAAGAGAGGACACACAGATTCTAGAGTATTGGCAGTAGCTTCTCTGTATCTGGTTTGTGGTTACATAGTTGTTGCTTACTAAACTGCACACTTATATACTTTTCTGTAGGTTGTATTTCACAAAATTTAAAATGACAAGGAAGAACTTGCACTACTGACTATTAACACCAACTAAAGTCATAGTTATTGATAGTGTGGAAAAAATTAGAAGGCCCAGAAATAGGCCTGAGACACATAGAAATTTAATATTCTATAAAAATAGCATTACAAATCAGGGGGGAAATGGTGCTATATGATACTGAACCTACTGGTAAACTCTTTGCAATAAAATCAAATCCCTACCTCATACAATATCCCCAAATAAATCTGAGAGGGATTAAAAATTCCCTTTTCACTCCAGTTATATAGATTAAATAAGTTAATGTATATAAACAAAATAAAAATTCCTTTTGAATTAAAGATAAGTGTAAAAAGTAAAATAAACATTGGAATATTGGAAGAAAATAAAAACAATTATCCATTCTTATGTTAGGAAAAATATGTTGAAGCACACATGCAAGGGTAGACTCCCAAAGAAAACAGTTTCTCAACAGACACATGAAAAAGTGCTCAGCCTCACTAATCATCAGAGAAATGCAAATCAAAACTACACTGAGATATTACCTAATCCCAGTATGAATGGCCATCTTTAATAAAACAAATGACAGATGCTGGCGAGGATGTGGAGAAAAAGGAACACTCTACAGTTCTGGTGGGAATGCAAACTAGTGCAGACTCTTTGGAAGGTAGCGTGGCGATTTCTGAAAGAACTAGAAATTGACCTTCCATATGACCCAGCAATTCCCCTATTGGGAATATACCAGGAAGAACTCAAGTCATTCTATGAAAAAGATACCTGCACATGCATATGTGTTGCAGCTCTATTCACAATAGCAAAAACATGGAAGCAACCATGCTGCCCATCAAAGCTGGACTGGATTTTAAAAATGTGGCACATATACACAATGGAATATTACGCAGCCATAAAGAAGGACAAACATATGGACTTTGCAGCAACTTGGATGGATTTAGAGTCTATCAAACTCAGGATGTATCACAGAAACAAAAAACAGAGTACCTCATGTTCTCACTCTTAAGCGGACCTTGAACAATTAGCATAATACAATAAAAAAGGGATTGACAGTAGCAGGAAACTGCCAGGGGAGGGGGTATGGGATTGGCAGTTGAGGGAAACTGCCAAGGGAATGAGGGGCACACCTCATCAACAAGGGTACCTGAATCATGAACATTTGTATACCTAACCCTGAATTGTACCCCACATCTTTAAAAAAATTTTTTTTTAATTAAAAAAAAAGTTTCTACACTGAAATACCACAAATGATGTTAAAAGGCAAATAACAGACTAAAAAATAGTTAAAACATATAGAAAAGGATGGACATTCATAATTTATGAAGAACTTATAAACCAAGAAAAAGAGCAAGTTCTCCAAGCAAGTAACAGAAAAATGTGAGCATTCTCAAAAGAACGAATATAAAATGGTCAATTAACATGAAAAAGCACTCAACCTTCACTAATAATTTTTTAAAATACTAATGTTAAATGTAGCCCCTTTCTGTAACTGCTCAACTTGCAAAGATTTTTAAGTAGCAATTTTCAATTCTGAGAGTTTACTACATTGATAGTGGGAATGTAAATGGATACAACCACTGCAGTGATATATAAACAAGGGGTGCCAAAAAAAGTATGCACGTTTTAAGCGTGACGTTCACTCAAAGGATGGCGTTAATCAAAGGAGTGCTAGCATCACCATGTGACAGGCAGGACAATGAAAGAAAATGGTGGAAGCACGGTTGAGCAAATGTCATACTACACTTTGCTACCATAGGATAAAATCTCCTAAAATGTGCACACATTTTTTTTGGTACCCTCTATATATATGGGGAAATCCCCCCACAAAATGTTATTAATTACAAAATTGTGTATTTATTCTTACATATTTAAACTTCATTCACCTTCAAAGTACTCTACATTTGATGCAATACACCTTCAAGATGCTTTTCCCACTACTCAAACCAGTTTTTGAACTCATCAATTTTGATGCCTTTTAGAGCTTCTACCGTTTTTTGTTTCACTTCCTCCATATTAGCAAAATGTTTTTTTGAGGATTTTTTTCATCTGAGGAAACAAAAAAAAAAGTCACTCGGGAGAGAACGGGTGAATAGGAATGTGAGGCTCAGGTTCAGGGGTCATGTCATTTTTGGGCCAAAAACTGCAGAACACTCAGCATGTGTGGGCAGGTACGTTGTCATGGTGGAAGAACCAGTCACCTGTATGTACCGAGGATGCCAAAAAAAGTATACATATTTTAAGAGATGTTATCTATGTATTACTTTTAGTTCACTGTAATCAGAAGTGTCTGGACAAAGTAAGCACTTTTAGCAATAATTGCAGAAGTCAAACATGACTTGTATTCATCTTTTGTTATCAGTATATATTATTACACTTTTAAGCTTTTTTCTTAGTGTGTATGTTTTTTGGCATTGTGTGCGTGTGTGTGTGTGTGTGTATCGTCAATCACCTATATATAGTATATATCGATTGTCAAAAACTTACCCTTTTACCTAGCAATTTCACTTCTAAAAAGGTATAAGTCATTTTGTACAGAATTATAGTAAACCAAATGGTAAAACAAAAATTGATTTTAAAGTTACTCCATGAAAAGGAATATCCTGCAGCTACCTAAAAGGCAATATGGGAAAATATTTATAATATATAAAGCAAGCCGAGGCCTCATCTCTACAAAATATATATATATGAAGCAGACTATAAAACCACATAAACATATAGCTATGCCTAGAAAAAATAAGTACAAACACCCAAATGTTAACAGAGGTTGTCTCTGGGGAGTAGGATTACAGGGAACTGTGTAAACAGGCACATGATCACTTCCATATTATCCAGCTATCCAAGAATAACTTTTTTTTTTTGAGTGGGGTTCTCACTCTGTCACCCAGGCTGGAGTACAGTGGCACAATCACAGCTCACCACAGCCTTGACCTCCTGGCTCAGGTGATCCTCCCACCTCAGCCTTCCAAGTAGCCAGAACTACAGCACATACCACGCCTGGCTAATTTTTGATTTTATTGTAGTGAAGAGGTCTCGCCAAGTTCCCTGGGCTGGTCTTGAACCCACAGGCTCAGGCAATCCACTAGCCTCAGCCTCCCAAAGTGCTGGGATTACAGGCTGAGCCACTGAGCCCAACCAGTTACTGCTTTTAATACCACCTTCCCCTCACCCCCCAAAAAAGAAAATGTGAAAAGTATACAGAGCTAACAGCCTCATTATTTTTAGTTTTTGAGACTAGTAGTAAATGATATCACAGCATAAAACTTGATGTTCTCTCTTGATAGAATGAAATAACAATTCTGGGTCAGGTGCAGTGACTCATCATGCCTGTAATCCCAGCACTCTGGAAGTCTGAGGGGAGAAGACCGCTTGAGTTCAGGAGTTTGAGATCATCCTAGGTAACATAGTAAGACCCTAACTTTACAAAAAATCAAATTAGCCTGGTGTTGTGGTATGTGCCTGTGGTCAGAGTAAGACTACAACTCAAAAAAAACAACAGTAACTACACCTGGAAGTGCATGACATAGAACTGAACCCTTCTTATCACATGTGTATCTAAACGCATTTTCAAAGTTCATATATCTAATTAAACACCAGTAAAACATCACCATTAGCATTTGAAGTTGCTCTAATTAATATTTTATTCTTCAACACTTTCAAAGATTCCAACATATTAGACAAATAACTTTTTTTATAACATAAATATTAATTTCTCTGGAGACAACCATATAAATCCTTTAAAATGACATGAACATGTATGAGACTGAGGTTTCTGCAGCCTATATATTCCTCTTTTGGGGGGGAAAAAATCAATGTACTGACGATTTCAACTTTTTAAAAAATGGTTTTATCAAACTGAACGTTCTGCACATTAACCTATCATCTGTGAGAGCAATGAACTCAAGCCAGGTTCCCCTGGCTTCCACAGGAGTAGACAGTCACTCCTCTAACCCAGTTCAGTCAGCTTGGACTTTTCCTATACATCACGTTATTCCAGGCAAACTGTTTACCTAGAAAGGCCTCCACCTTCTGGCATCCACTCAAAGTGTTCCTTATTCCTAATCAGAAAACAGGTAACAACTTCCTAAGGTAAGACAGAAAGACACTTGTTAAGCAGTTTCTGAGTGTCTTTCTAGGTGTTTCATAACAGCCCCATGCATACATACACACAACTCTTTAGACTGCTCCCTTCATTACTCAAATAAGAAGGAAACTATGTCTTCCTAATTCATTTTAGGTGCCTGGGACAATTAAGTATTTCACTGAAAGACATGTAATAAATGCTATTTGAGGGTATAAGGAAAAAAAGTTACCTGCTTTCATTTCGCTTAAAGAAAAAAGTGTGTTCTACCGCATACCAAAATATCAAAGAAATACACAACATACTACAAAACTTTAATACAATGTGGTTAAACACAATATTCAAATATTAAACTTTTCAAGCACATGAAAGTCATCTTCTAAAAGATAAACTGGGTCTTTTTATAGCTACTTTTGTGTAGCTTTATAAAACTTTTTCCCTCAACAATGTCTGACACTGATCTTGATACTTGTTAAAGTCTGATGTAAAATGATGACATCTCAACACAGTTGGAAATTTAGGAGATTATCCCATGCCCATCTTCAGAATTCATCATCAGAGGATCGATCGTCACCTTCGTCCCTTACTTCTCGGTATTTCCCTGAGGACTCCCCTTCTGGATTATAACTGTGCATTTTAATATTCAGTCTTTCAGCTAATTTTTGCGCTGCGAGCTTCGCTTGCATCTCCTTTAAAACAAAGAGCACAACAAAAAGTTACACGTTCACATCTCTTCCTTACAAAGTTTCAATGCAAAGCTATTCAAACAGAATCAGAAATAGAGGGGCATAAAACCTCTCATAAAACTTAGTGCTCCCTACAGCAAGATGAGCCTGACACCTGTGGCCCACCAAACACAACACGGCAATGCTTCTGAGAGCTACCAACCTGCTACAGTTGCAGTTACTGACTTCCACTAATAAACACTGCACTGAAATATCCTACCTCTGTACAAGAAACTGAGCTTAGCACACAACAGTTATAAACATAGCTATCAGCTAAATGACCATGTGTGTCACATGTCCATAGTATGTGGACATATGCACGCATACATACACCTATATGTAACATTTTAACCCATCAAATGTCAAAATTCACTAATGCTGATTGATTTCTCCAACTGACAGAGCTGTCTTTCCTAGATTAAATTATGGCTTTTAGGTTTGAGAGTTATATTTCCACGGCACAATGAAAATCCAGAAAGTAATACTAAAAAGCTGACTATTTCTTCCCAAATGTGTTTGTATACACCAAAGAACTTTACCTCTGACTGATGGCAAGTGGCAATGATCACAGCTGACTTGATTCTTCCCTTTTCTCACGCTTCTCCCACGCCACCTGAACTTCTTTATGTCCTTCCCCTCAGGCCATGAATATTATGGGTAGGTATAAGTGGGAGCTACTAGCATTACTACTACTCTGCCAAGAAATCCAATTTCAAGCTGAAAGGTTTAACTTAACCTAAGCCTATCTTGAGATAGGCATTTAAGATCTCAGAGATAATTTAGAAAACACTTCCTCAATACTATAGTCATAACTAGGCAGTAATTTTTATATACTGAAAGGAAGAAAAAGGGCTTGAAAAAACTGTCTTGAAAATACCAATCCACAGTTAAGCTTTTATGAAAAGCCAAGGCAGATTAGGTCTCATTTAATAACAATATGTGCAACAGTACCTGACTAAAATCTAGCTAAGCAATATCTAGGAAGTATGACAGGATGCTGTTCCCCTGGAGGCTTAAATTATCACTATTTAAGTATATCTTGCCCTTTCTATTTCCTCTATTGCCCTCACACTTTCTCCCATCCCATTCTTCTGTACACAAACTCTCAACATACACACTTAGAGTTTTACGCACTACACATGGATCTTCGGAGAAAGTGTTATATACAATGAACTGGGATGCCTCGCATTGTCTGTTGGCAACACACCACTACCCTCCCACCCGTTCTCCTGCACTGCAGAAGACGGAAGCTTAGGAACTATATTTCTCTGATGCTTAGCAGGACTCTGGGTTAGATTCTACCATGAAGAAGCTGGCGCACGGGTTTTACAAGATGGAAGGGAAAGGAGCAGTGTTACTGCTGTCCTAACACCTAACAGGAGCAGGCAGACGCATGAGCTTTAAGATGTGAAATTTTGCTACAGACCCCCATATTGCCTAGCAAACCATCACTTTGATGGTCAGGCAGCTGTGATAGTCTCCACTGCTTCCTCCACTGTTTCCTACAGAGAGCTTTGTGACTCTCTGAAAACTCCTGGCAAATGTCTGACATTCAGTGACCAATTCCTTCTACCCAATTTCTTCCTCCTCAAACTTCCTGGAGTAAATCTGCTGACTTATGTAAGCAGCATTCAATACACAAACAAGAAAAAATTAATATCTAAATACCTCATAATTCTGTTTCTGCTGTTTCTGAAGTGCCAAAGATTCTTCTACGGAGAGCAGTTGTGTGGGCATATGGTGAAGTGGTAGAAGCCGAGCTGCTGTAATGTCATCAAGATGCTGCTTATCCCTACGCCGCCGCTCTTCTGAGGAAATGGGAGACCCTCTCCTTTGACAATGACTAGATGAATCATTCTGTTGTGAAGGTAATCTTAAGGAAGAAAACTTATACAATCAGACTATTTTCTTTTCATAGACACATTTTAAACATTCACACACACAAAAATGGCCTTTAACTTCAGGGATTCATTCTTCTCCAAGGTACCATAAAGCAGTTTACCAGTCTTCACTGCTCTAACAGGTAATAGGGGTATGGAGGGGGGCAGTGTATGCACACATGTGCATGTTCACAAGTTCTTTGCCTTTTCCTACCCTCTTTAAACCGTATACTTGAACTGAAGCTACTTTTTCACTTCTTTTTTTAAAGAACATTTGCAAAAGGATTACTGTCCAGCAGAGGAGACGAAACATGTAAGCAGTTTTCAATGCAATATAATAATACGTACTATGACAGGCATCTACACACTGGAACATAAAGAAGGAAATAGTTCTAGTGAGACAGGGAGGTTGTCAGAATAGCTTCAAAGTGAAACTGAGCAATCTTGGAATAATAAGTGCTCACCACGTAAAAGAAGGGCACCTCAGCACGAGGAGTGAGTGACAACATGTCTGTGGCATACAGGAAGAACAGGAATGCAGAGTACAGAAAAGGCAGCCAGAGAGAAGACTGGGAAGAAGCTGGGTCCAGACTGCAGTGAAAAGTTCTATCCTATGAAACAGGTTCAGCTTCGCATCTTATAAACTTCACTCTGGCAGCAGTGGAGAAGACTGACTAGAGGCAGAAAGAGACCACAAATACAGCCCAAGAGCGAGGTGAGCGCCTTCTACTTGAACAAGAAAAAAGATGAAGAACAATTACAGAGAAGATCAAGAGACATATTATGTAGGCCTTCATGACTAGCAGACACGGAGATGAAGGGAAAAAACAAGGAGGTTTTTCTATTAAGAAATATGGGAGAATGCTAGAAACAGAAGCTCTGCTTTGTACATGATGAAGCTGAGATGCCATGGAATACCCAAATGGTCAAGTTTCATAGCTAGTCAGCCATGCAAATCTACAGCTCTAGGAAGACTTGAGCTAGAGGCAGATGGAGCAGCATCCAGCATCCAGGTGATATATGAAGTCAGAGAGCATGTAGAAGGCCAAAGAGCAGACAAGGAGTCAAAGAACATACCTCATCCCACTTTCCAGTCTCCAAGCTGCTTCTCAGGCATGGAACCCTCTTAATCTGTCTATGGCCTATCGACTCAAGGCCTAGCCTTTCCTGATTTCTCTTGTAAATTTCCTAAATTCTTAGCAGCCCTCATCACTACTCCCCTACCTCCTCCCAATACCAGCTAAATAGAGATGAACATATTCTTATATTTACTGAATACATTCCATGATGTACTTACTAATGCTTCTGGTTTTCTAAAATGTCCTAGAAGTGAAGAAAGTTATCTCACTATATAAAAAAGATTACTTGATCATATTAATATAGTACAATTCAGGTTTCCTATACAGCAAAAATGTTTTGAGATTTAAAAAATGAATAATGAACTAGGGTTAAACTTTAAAGTCTCTTTCTAACCAAAAAAGCATGCTTCGGGTATTTTCAACTAGAGGTTTTCAGTTTTTCAATGAAAGGTAGTATAACGGTGGTTTAACTTTATATCTCATGTTATATCCTTATAAATACAGTATAGAAAGGTACCAGTTACCTGATTTGAATGTTAAATTTGCTACAATTCATTCCTATTCAAATAACTTGTATTTTTTCCTAAAATCTAAGAAACAAAACTACAGCAAGGAATTTAGAAGCAGGATTTTTTTAACTATTTTTAAAACTGTTCTCACAGTTTTAATCCCCTCATAGTTCTCTCCTCCACCCTCTGAAATAGTTATTATATAGTTTAACTTTTTGCAAAGTATGCAAACCTTGGGTCCTCACCTAGATCTTAAGCTCTTTGAGGAGAATCTTTACTTCATTGTGTCCCCACAGCACCTGCTACTTACATATAGGGAGCAAGCAAATGTTTTTTGCTGGGAAAGTCCATCAGCTCTTGCAATTGCTTCTCCTTACATCATAGACTAACAAAAGAAAAAGTTGTACTCTAGAAAAAGGTTCTGGAAAAAAAAGTCAAAATAAATTCTTTCTAACTCTGTGTTTATCTTGAAATGTAATACTTCCCCATCTATTATTTAAAACTTTTTCAATTATTTGGTTTCAAAACTAAATATTTTTCAACATTCCAGCCAGGCTAGTGCCACTGTTTCAATTATATGTTCTTTCCTAACTACAAGTAGTTCTCAAATAAAGCCCACTGAACTTAAAGCATTCTTTTTCTTTTTCTTAAAGAGACAGGGTCTTGCTGTGCTGCCCAGGCTGGACTCAAATTCCTACCCTTGAATGATCCTCTCACCTAATCCTCCTGAGTAGCTGGGTCTGCAGGCAAATACTACTGCCCCTGGTTTCTCCTAACTTTTTGTGTTTTATAATATTACGTTCTTGTGATAGGCTTGGTTCCAATGGTACTTACACGTTGGTTTTAAATTTATGTGATGGGGGCACTGGATTTTTGGCTCGCGTTTCTAACACTTCCATGTAATGAGGCTTCTTCTGAGATCCACTATGAAGGCCTGTCAAGTTCTCAGCACTTGTGTTCTCTCCTGTCTGGTGTTCACCTTGGTCTGCAACTGTGATCCTTTGCAATCTGTCAATAAGCAGATTGTCAAAGTTGCTGGAAGTATCTTCTGCTTGACTTGAAACACAATGCTCAGGGAGAGGCTTGCTAGCTTCAGATAAAGAAGGTGCCCTGGCTGTTGAAGCTGGACACTTGTTCACTGTGTACTCAGCCTCTGGAGTTTCTTTATCACGTTTATGAGTAAGATGTACAAGTCCTTGTTCTTGAGAGGTCGTCTTAGATGACTTGATGTTATTATCTACAGAGGAACAGCCAGGAACTAGTGATGAAGTATCAAGTATCTGGTCAGTATTGTGGGCCTTAACTGTGTCCACATCGACTCCTGCAATTGCTTTTTGTCTTAGTTTACAGTCTAAACTAACAGGATGAAACAGTTCACTTTTTCCTCTAACTTCTTCACATTCTGCAATGGCAGCTTTCAGTTTGGCAACAGAGTCTAAGATCTTTTTACCTTTGTCGGGCAATTTGCAAATGAATTTTCTGTCAAATGAAAAAGAACATGTTTACATTACATTCGTGTTTATAAACTTGAGATATAACATTAAAAAGGCAAAGCATCATATTAAAAGGGAGAAAAGTTTACCTTTTTTAGTCAAAAATCTGATTTCTAACTGTCCCAAAACAGGAACGAAACAAAATTACCCACACAGCCCAGAAAACAAAGGTATGCAGGAAGAATAGGGAATATATGCCTCATTTGTCTCACCTAACTAGAATTTCAGCAGAAGCATTTTAAGCATACAATAATCACATAAGACATTCCAAAAATCAGTTTTTACAATGTGATCTCCACACCCTGACAGGAGTGGGGGATGAATCTGTAAGGTCAAAACTATGTCCTTAAAAATATTAGAAAATACATGATGTTTGTTGACATTATCGCTCTGAAATGGAATGGGTACTTGTGTATTCTCATATTTTAGACTTCTCCATCACATTTCTGATAAATCAGTAAATATCACTAGGTATAACACATATAAAACAAGAGCTCTCTGGGGTGCTCCATAATTCTTAGAGGTAAAGGAATCAAGAAATAAAAAAAATTAATTAGTTGCTATAGAGATTTTAACCCACTCTGAAACAGGTGTCAAAACCCCTGTTTGGGGGGAGGTGGGTTGTTTGTTTTAATGGAAAAAGGTCTCACTATGTTGCCCAGATTGGTCTCAAACTCCTGGACTCAAGCAATCTTCCCAACTAGGCCTCCCAAAGTTCTGAGATTATAGGCGTGAGCCAACACACCTGGCCTAAAACATCTGTTTCTACTAGGAAGCTCCCCTTTTCCTGGATGACAGAAGTTCTTTTTCTGATTTCCTTGTCTTTGGCTATATAATAAATAGAAAAGAATGGTTACATCTTAGATCCTCTATTCTTTTGAAACCACGTTAATTCCCACGATTTCAACTATTAACAACTCTCTGTTGGGATTCCTGTATTTCACCAGCCGCCTTCTCTCTGGAGCCTCATAACCACTTCTCCAGCTTTTAACTAGTCAGTTTTTAATGAAACAATGTCTGTCCTGCTCTCCCCTCAAGTCAGCACACCCTAAGTTAAGTCAACCTTAGATCTTTTTCTCTCCCCTAATTTTCCTGTTTTTGTTCGTTGTTCTCCATATAGATGGAAACTTTGGCCATCTCTGTCAACTACATATTCAAATTATTCCCAATTCCACAGCCACCTCTCTAGCTTACTTTCTTACAAGCCTTTTTGTTGGAAACCTCTAAAAATATCCTCCTACTGTCTTCTGCCTTTTATTCCTTCAAACCATCCCGCACCAAGCTGCTAAACAAAGTTGCCTCAAAAACAAGCCATCTTTATACATCGTTCCCCTTGCTATAAACTCCGTAAGTCAGGCAGCTGAATGAGTCGAACTTTGTCGGCCTAATATCCTGCTCTTTATATCCCATTTCCTACGGTTTCTGTAAGAACAGGACGAAAACATTTATTTTGGGCCGGGGAGTGGGGGGCACAATAGGGCTTAGCACTCTCGCTTCATGGAACCCGCACCGGAGGTGGGTAAATAAAACCAACGCGGAGCCACCAACTAGCGGAAACGCTCAGCAGGGGACCGGGACAGGAGCCGCCTCGCAAGCCAGGGTGAGGACGGCTCTGCGGCTGAGGCCATCAGTCCGCCCGCCGCAGGACTGAAAGGAACCCCACGGAGGCAAGGTCACCTTCCGGGGAAGGGAACGGAGTGGGGGGAGGAGAGAGGAGCGTCCCCGGAGCCCGAAGGGCACGAGCCCGGCGGTGACTCGGCGGGACTCCAGCTTACTCGTTGCGCAAAAGTCTCTCCTGGCGCTTCAACATCTCCCGCAGCTCCGTCAAACTCCGCCGCCCCAAGTCCTCGGGAACTTGGGGCTCGAAGCCGCGGAGCAGCGAGGACATTCTGCGGAGGCTGAGGCTGAGGAGGTGGCGGGCACTCGGCCTCCTCGGCAGGCCCTGCCGCTAGCTCCGGATCCGTGGCTGCCGACGACTCCGAGGCACGAGCGGGAGTCGCCATTTTCCCGGAAGGACGACTTTTCTTCGAGTCGAATCGAGCTTTATTGAAACGCCGGAAACAAACATGGACCAGGAGAAGGGGGCGTCCCAGGGAGCGCGAAGGGGCGGAAGTTACGTCGGGTGACGTCAGCGCCTCCGCCTGGAGCGCGTTCCCCGCTGCGTGTGCCTCTGTCTGGTCGCCGGCTGCTCGTTGGTTTGTACCAGAAAGTGTTGATTGCCACCGTGACCCCCACCAGGCAGTGTGTGTTAGTCACCGAGAAGCCGTGGCTTCTGTTTTGGAGTTTACAGAATGGTGAAGGGGCGCAGGCATTAATCAAATAATCATAAAACAATATATAAGTAGGGTTGGGATGGGCACCTAGGAAGGTGTCTCTGAGAAGTGAAATTTAAGTCGAAGGCTGAGGGGTGACAACCGATGGTGATGCAGGGGAGAGTGCAAGACGAGATTTAGAAGACCCTGGCTTAGGTGTGGTGCCTCCTAGCTCAGCTTCGGGGAGTTCCGAAATGTAAAGGTTAGAAGGTTCCTTGGAGAGCGTCAGCATTTCTCATCCGGGCTCTGTGGCATTTGGAGCAGGACTTTTCATTTGCGGCACTGCCTCAGGCATTGCAGGACATTTGGTATCTCTGGCTTCTGCCTACTAGTTGCTCTGACATTCCCAAGTCCTTGTAAGCATCTAAAAGTTCTCCCCCGCCCTACGTGTCCCCCCCCCCACATGTCCAAAGGTCTAGAGAGAGGGGACAAGGAAGGAGCTGCTGTACCAGCTGGTTGAAAACTTGCCTTATAATTCCCTGTTTTGCCTACAGAAAAACAGAGGCTCAAAAACTGGAGTAAATATCTCAGGGCACAAAACCCGCAAGTGGCAGCGCCACATTGCAAGCCCAAGTGCCCAGCTACTTTTTAACATTTCAAACCCAAATGCCCAGCTGCTTTTACCCCCACATCAATTTGAAAATCCCCTTCATCACTTTAGACCCTTTTCCAATGTATGAAATTGTGGAAATGGCTTTTTTTCCAGATGTCGAGAAGAGTAAGACAGCGTAATAAGCAGACCCAGCTTTTACCTTCTTCTAGCTCAGCTATCAGAGCTGCATACCAGTGGAAGGAGTGGGAGACACCCAGAGTCACAGCAGATATCACTTGGGAGGTTTGAATGCCCCCATAGCTTCCAACCCTTCCCTCTGTAAATTTTTTAATATAGAAGATTGAAGTTTTCTGGATCCTATGTAAGATGTGATATAAACACATACAACTTCCACCTGACAAAACAGAAGTGTCATATAAAATCTGGAGCTATTCAAGGGAGCACAATTGCAGCCATTTCTTTATTTATATAATAACCAGATTAATATATCAGAATAAGTTTTCTCAATATAATCCTTGCTTTTGAGGGCTTTATTTTTTATGTTTATTTTTTATTTTTCTTTGAGTTGGAGTCTCACTCTGTCGCCCAGCCTGGAGTGCAGTCGCCGCTCCCAGCCACTGCAGCCTCGACCTGCTGGGCTCTAGTGATCCTTCCACCTCACCCTTCCAAGTAGCTAGAACTACAGGCACATACCACCACGCCCAGCTAGTTTTTTTTATTTATTGTAAAGATGAGGTCTCACCAAGTTGTCTAGGCGGATCTTGAACCCGCGAGCTCAGGCAATTCACTCACCTCAGCCTCTCAAAGCTCAGGATTACAGGCTGAGCCATCGAGCCTGACTTTTTATTTTTTTATTTTAAAGATGTGGGGTACAATTCAGGGTTAGGTATACAAATGTTCATTATGCAGGTTCCTTTGTTGATGAGGTGTGCCCCTCCCCCCATCCCCTGGCAGTTTCCCACTACTGCCAATCCTTTTCTTATAGTATTAAGATAATTGTTCAAGGTCTGCTTACGAATGAGAACATGTGATACTCAGTTCTTTGTTTCTGTGATTGATCACTCGGTAATATAGACTCTAAGTCCATCCAAGTTGCTGTGAAGCTCATACTTTTGTCCCTCTTTGTGGCTGCATAATATTCCATCATATATATGTACAATATGTTTTTTATCCAGTCCTCTTTCGATAGCCCAGTTGGTTCCATGTTTTTGCTATTGTGAACAATGCTGATATAAATATACTTGTGCAGGTATCTTTTTCAAAGAGTTATTTGAGTTTTCTCTGGGTATATTCCTGGTAGGGGGATTGCGGGGTTGCATGGGAGGTCGATTTTTAGCTCTTTTAGGAAATGCCAAACTCTTTTCCACAGAGGTTGTGCTAGTTTACACTCCCACCAGCAGTGTAGATGTGTTCCCTTTCCCCACATCCTCTCCAGCATCTGTTGTTTTTGAGTTATTGATTATGGTCATCCTGACTGGAGTTAGGTGGTATCTCAGTGTGATTTTAATTTGCATTTCTTTGAGACTGAGCATTTTTCCATGTATCTGTTGGCTGCTCATGTGTCTTCTTTTGAGAAGTGTCTATTCATATCTTTTGCCCAATTTGTAATGGGGGTGTTTGTTTTATTCTTTTCAGCACATTTGAGTTTCTTTTAAATCCTGGATGTTAGGCCTTTGTCAGATAGACAGTTGGCAAATGTTTTTTCCCCGTCTGTGGGCTGTCTCCCTGTTCTCTTGATGGTTTCTTTGGCTTTGCAGAAGATTGTCAGTTTGATGAGGTCCCCCTTGTCTATCTTCTCTCTTAAGGCATGGGCACTTAGGATTTTGTTCAGGAATTGGTTGCCAGTTCCAATTTCCATAAGGGTCTCTCCTGCGTTTTCTAAGATTCTTGTAGTTTGAGGTTTTAGATTTAGGTTTTTTACTCATTTAGAGCTGATTTTTGTTAAGGGTGATAGGTAGAGATCTTGTTTTAATCTTCTGCATGTAGTCAGCTAGTTTCCCCAGCACCATTTACTGAATAGGTTCTCCTCTCCCCAGTGGTTGGTGGTGGAGGCTTTGTCAAAGATGAGTTGGAGCCGGGTTTGGTGGCTCAGCCTGTAATCCCGCGCCTTTGGTAGGCTGAGTGAGTGGATTACCTGAGCCTACGGGTTTGAGACCTGCCTGGGCAGCGAGACCTCATCTCTACAATAAATCAAAAAATCAGCCGGGAGTGGTTGCACATGCCTGTAATTCCAGCTACTTGGAAGGCTGAGGGCAGAAGGATCGCCGGAGCCCAGCAGGTGAGGTTGCGGTGGCCGGAAGCGGCCACTGTACTCCAGTCTGGGCAACAGAGTGAGACTCCAACTCAAAAAAAAAAAAAAAATGAGTTGGTTGAGAAATTGAGGTTTTGCTTCTGGAATCTCTATCCTGTTCCCTTGGTGTATATGCCTGTTCTTGTACCAATACCAGGCTGTTTTGATTATTGTAGCTTTATAATGAAGTTTAAAGTCTGGGAGTGTGATGCCTCTCACTTTGTTTTTTGTTTGTTTGTGTTTTTTTTGCTCCAGTTTTTGAGCCTCAGTTTTTCTCAGGCAAAACAGGGAATTATAAAAGACAGGTTTTCAACCAGCTGGTACAGCACCTCCTTCCTTGTCCACTCTCTCTAGACCTTTGGAAATGTGTGTTGGAGGGTGGGACGTAGGGTGGGGGAGGAGGACTTTTAGATGCTTACAAGGACTTGGGAATGTCAGAGCAACTAGTAGGCAGAAGCCAGAGATACCAAATGTCCTGCAATGCCTGAGGCAGTGCCGCAAATGAAAGTCCTGCTCCAAATGCCACAGAGCCCGGATGAGAAATGCTGATGCTCTCCAAGGAACCTTCTAACCTTTACATTTCGGAACTCCCCGAAGCTGAGCTAGGAGGCACCACACCTAACCCAGGGTCTCCCAAATCTCATCCTGCACTCTCCCCTGCATCACCAACGGCTGTTTTGGCTATTCCTGGTCGTTTCCATAAGAAATCCTATATTTTCATTTCCAAGTCTGAGAAGAATGCTGCTGGTAATTTAATGGGTATTGAGTTAAATCTGTAGATTGCCTTGGGTAGAATGGACATCTTAGCAATGTTGATTCTTCCAATCTTGAGCATGGAATATTTTTCCATTTGTTTGTGTCATCTTTGGTGTCTCTGAGCAGTGTTTTGTAGTTTTCGTTGTAAAGGTCATTCACATCTCTGGTTAGGAAGATGCCAAGGTATTTCATTTGTGTGTGTGCATGGCTATTGCGAATGGGATTGTGCTTTTTATTGGGGTTTCTGTTATTGTTGGTGTATAGATGTATGACTGTCTTTTGCACATTTATTTTATACTCTGAGACTTTGCCAAAGTCCTTTATCAGTGCAAGGAGATTTTTGACAGATTCTCTTGGGTTTTCAAGGTATAGAACCATGTCGTCTGCAAAGAGGGATAACTTGACTTCCTCTTTTCCAATTTGGATATCCCTGATCTCCTTCTCTTATCTGATTGCTCTAGCTAGGATTTTCAAAACTACCTTGAACAGGAGGGGTAAGAGTGGGCTTCCTTGTCTTGTTCTGGTTTTCAGGGGACATGGTTCCAATATTTGTCTGTTTAGCAGTATGTTGGCTGTGGGTTTCTCATGGATGGCTCTTGCTATTTTGAGGTATGTTCCATCTATACCAAATGTTCAAGGGTTTTTATCAAGAAGAGGTACTGGATTTTATTGAAAGCGTTTTTTGCATCTGATGATATCATCATGTGGTTTTTGTCTTTACATCTGTCAATGTATTTAATTATGTTTATTGTCTTGCGGATGTTGAACCAGCCCTACATCACCTACTTGGTCATGGTGAATGATTTTTGAGATGTGTTGTTGGGTTCTGTTTGCTAGAGTCTTGTTGAGAATTTTAGCATCTAGGTTCATCAAGGATGTTGGCCTGTAGTTCTCTTACTTTGTTAGATCTTTACCTGGTTTGGGTATCAATGTGATGTTAGCTCCATAAAATGATTTGGAGACAGTTCCGTCTTTTTTGATTGCCTGGAATACTTTCAGTAGGATTGGTATCAGTTCCTCCTTGCATGTTTTGTAGAATTCTGCTGGAAAACCAGCTGGTCCAGGGCTTTTTTTTTTTTTTTTTTTTGGATAGTTTTCTTATGACAGAGTCAATTTCCTGGATTGTTATTGGTCTATTTAGGGTCTCAATTTCTTCTTGTTTCAACCTGGGCAGGTTGTGTGATGTCAGAAAATCTTCCATTTCCTTTAGGTTTTCAAGTTTGTTTCCATATAAGTGTACATAGTAGTCTCTGATAATCTTTTGTATTTCTTCAGGGTCAGTTGTGACTTCATCTTTTGC